CACACACACACACACAGTAAGCAGCTGTACACGCATAAAAACGTCACCATGTACACAGAGCCATACACATATATACAAGCACTGCATATGGTAGATATACAGACTCTGCACACTGTGTTTTCCACAGATCTTCCACAGATTGTCTCAACGCTGAATCACAACAAGCACAGTGCAGTGGGGAAATTTCAGTTGTGCTCATAAGACATAAGCTTAGGAGCCTCAGTGCAGCTACCGCCACACAATGACTCCCAGCAGCCAATGACAACAGCCTCCCTCCACATATGTAAGTACACTTGACACACTGAGCCGACCTCCACCGCGCTCAGTCGCAGATCTCCCGCAGAGCAGGCAGGGGAGGATTGGAGCCAGAATAATGGCCCAGCGCTGATTCATATCAGGTGATTGTCTGTGACATGTGGTGTTCAGCCAAAGGCCAAAGGCCATTGCAGTAGCGCTGCCCTTTACAACGTCACATTAGGCCTTGCTAATTCGCAGGCAATTAGCCTGGCTGCATGGGAGCTAGCCTGAGGCGACGGGGGTCGCAAGAGAGCAGGTTAGTCAGCAGCACAGCCTGCAACAAGCCATTTGGTGAAGGTACAGGTCTAGACTGCCTTTTCAGGTGGTAAATAATGGGAAGGCCTGCACATTTCAATAATATTATGGTGAGGTGAGCTTTGAATAAGCAACATTTCCCACCATTATCTTCAGCCTGAATAGAATGGAGCAGCATAGAATACAGATTAATCTATACATAATATATTCATCATTTTAAAATGTAAAAAAATAGTAGACGATACCCATCAATATCAGTTTCCAGCGTCAAATGTGTCTTTTAATTCCTTTTGTCAGACCTGCAGTCCAAAACCCAAATATACTACAATGGTATAAAATAAATCTCACATGTGAGGAGCTGGAACTAGTTAATATTTTGCTTGATAAATGACTTAAATGATTAATCCATTACCAAATTTTTTCTGTAAATCGACTAATCATTTCAAGACCTAATAGAATAAAACTGGAAGTGGAATAGAAAATCATTTTATTAGACATCAAGGTTGAAAACATTATTTCACCAAGACATAAAATTAGCACAATAACAACCTAAAGCAGAACAAGGGTACACTATAAAATATTATAACACAACATAAAAGGAAAAAAACACAAAAATAAAAGTTAATAAAAAAAGTAATAGTTGCATGTGGTGTAGGTCAGTTTTAAGAGTTTAAAATTTTGATTGGGTTAAAAAAAAGATCTTCTCAAAAAAACAAAAACGGATGTCATGACACACTGTTACACAGTAACTGACGAATAAGAGACAAAGACAGGAAGCAAAGAAGAGAAACCCCCATGTGGGTCTGGTCTCCCCCGCCACATACTCACTATGAGTTGTGGTAAAGGTGGGGAGAGGAGGGACACGTGGGTGTGAAGGGGCTGCGAAGGGGCTTTGGAGGGCATGGGAAAGTAGAGCGGTGCACCGCGTAGGACACAGAGAGAAAGAGAGAGGGAGAGGTTGGTAAAGATAACATAGGGGAGATAATGCTGTTCCAGTGATACAAAAAAAATTACGCAGCCCGATGCAACGCTGTTTGCATTCCCCTCCTGTATACTCCAGTTTATTCCTGTTTTAAAAACGGAAATGCTATGCATGCACGTTACACAAGATGAATTTAGGAACGTCAACAAGCTCCATAAACAAATGGCTTATGCGTGCGTGTGCTATTTAATTTCACGATATATATATATATATATATTTAATTTTTTCAGATTCGAAACCTCCTCCACACCTCCAGAGGAAGGTTTTCCTCATTACTTCTCAGATGAAAAGAGCGCTGCATATTCATTTTCAACAAAGACGCAAAAATCTCACAACCTTGGAAAACTACATGATAATAACAGCTAACTAGATTGGCTATTTAATGCACGCAAGAAGTGCGTGTGCATGTGTGTGTGTGTAGCTGCAACACATGCAGTAAGCCTGTGGACCAGTGTATGTATTTGTGTGATTTCTAAGGATGGAAGCTGAGGGGTGTGTGTGTGAGAGAGTGTGTGTAGGTGTGTGTGTGTGTGTGTGTGTGAGAGTGTGTGTGTATGACTGTGTGTTGTCCTGGTTTCAACTCTGCCGTTCCTGCACTCTCACATTATCATACAGAGCAGACGGAGTGCGTGTGCTGGGTAGTAAAACTCTCCTCTGCTCTCTGACAGTCTCCTCTCTCTTCGCCCCCCCCTCCATCTCCTCTCCTCTCCTACTGAGCTCCCCGTGTGTAATCTGTAGACTGCACACGTACACTGCCTACCTGAGTGGGAGTCTCTCTGTGGGTGTATGAGCTTGTGTGTGTACACGCATGTGTGGTGGAGGGTGAAGGAGACGGCGAGCACAACTCACCGTGTACGAGGTGTTTTCTGAAAGCTCAAGCGTTCGCCTTTAGTCGGTACATTCAGAAAATGCACATTTCAAAGTGTGTGTGTGTGCGCGCACGCGCGTGTGTGTGTGTGTGTGTGTGAGCCGACGATGTCTGCCAAACGTGGCAGCCAGACAATCTCTGTGTCTGTGTCCCACTGTGTACAGCTGACAGCAATCACCTGAACTGGAATGAACCAGACTTATGTAACTTTCCCTGTGACGGCCATGGCTGGTATAAAACAAGCCCCACTGTGTTGAGTCGGGTCATCCAGGAAGCAAAAGTTTACAGCCCTTTCTCAAAAGACGCAGGAATGTAAGTTGCACTTTACCTTAAAGCACTGCAGAGTGCCTAATTTGTTACTTTACATGTCTCTAAAATATCAATTCATGCACAGATCAGTGGTCGTGAGAAGGTTTTTTTCACCACAGATTGTCTCGTTATTGGCAATAATCTCCATAGAAGGCAAAAACAGAAGGCACCAACGGGATTTTTAAGTGCTGTGCTTTAAAAAGCAGATTCTGTCAAATATTCCTCCACTGACAAATATGAACACTTTTGGGAATTGTTTATATGGCCCTGGCCTCAGTGGAAAGCGGCACAACTCTGGGTTAGATATCTAACGGCAAACTCTCTGCCTTCGTATTATGGTCAAATGCCCGAACATGTGAAAATATACCCACAATGCCATCAGTACTGTGCGTTAATGATGCTACTAGAATGCAGCCGCACACACAAATCAATGAATCTAGAGGTGTAATTATGGGATACTAAAACATCCTGGCACCCAAATACAACCAGCAGGAGAAGGCACTCATGAGCTGCAGCGAGAGAAAGGCTGAATGGTCTTAATAACCCCTATCTTCTCTCTCCGAACAGAAAACGAATTGATTGAATCCTACATGCAGGTAAGAAGCTCTGCCAACACAACCTGGCTTGTATCATAACCTTTTTGTCTCCGTTTCTGGCATGCATCTCTGCTCAGGGAATGGCGTGTTGAAGATTATAGACGGGGAACAAACACAGGTTCGTGAAAGGGAAAGAAGAAAGGAGAGGAGTGAGTGACTAAGAGAGGGAAGGAGAGAGGAGGATGGGGGGGGGGGCGCTTAGTGAAGTGCAAGTACTTGGGAGATGAAGATAGAAAGTGAAAGAGAGAAATAATGAGAGAAGAAGAAAAATGTTTCCGCTCTCAGAGAGATGAATTGGTTGATAGTTTGCAGACAGCCTTTTCGATGTGTCAGTGGAAGGACTATATCCATCCCCTTCTTCACTAATAAGGTAGAGAATCCCCAAGACACAACCATAGGGATCTATTCATTCATCTCCAATAACACAGCCACCTTTCTGCTCACATTAGCCAGGATTTGCATAGCTACATTTACATAAGGATTTAATAACGTCGTCTGAATGAGACCAAATGCATCCGTCAATCATGCCTGGTTCACTAAAAGGTTTCTATGCTCTTCAAGGCAACCACTGGATCAAATCTGTGCATTTTGAACACTAGCAAAAGACTCAAGGTTTTGTTAGCATTTGATCAAATTTGAATCCAGTCTCAAATCCGCTGGCTGAATCCGATTTCTTTAATAGGCTTCAAAAAACAATCTGTGAAACAAATTCCAAAAAACTAATTGTCATTTAATAGCATAAATGTATTCTATAAGCTCCTGACTTCCTAAAATATTTTCTCCCACAGTGATTACGAGGAACCACGTGACAAGAGCTGGAGCGCACACAGATCCATATGGATCCACTAGAATATTAGACATGTTCACGCACGGACCCGAGATCTGCAGCAGTAAAACGAGACCCTACCACACCTGATCAGACTGAATATACTTTCAGTCAGTTCAACTCAGGTTTTGGGTCTAGTTTCGGAATGGAGTGGACTCATGAAGACCTTTAATTCCCACTTCTGATTCTTTAAGTTATAGAATTAATATTAATAAGCTACAGCTGATACAACTTGCAGTTGCAGTCGCTGATATTTGTAATGAAAGTAAGGAGAGACTATAAACTCGTCGATACGA